GGTCCTGGTCGGCAAATTGTCTCAGGAAATACGCTCTCCTGTCTGGCTCCAGGAGCCCCTCCATCTCTATGAAGAGCGGCTGCTCCACCAGGAGCCGGAGCTCTCGCAGGGCCTCGGGCCGTGTGGTGACCAGCAGGCTGGCCTTGGGCAGCATCTTCCTCTTCAGCAGGCTGCCCAGGAGGACGGGCACCGGCATCTCCCTCTCCCAGTTGCCACAGATATCATGGATCAGGGCCCCCGCAGGGACTCTCAGCTCTTCGAAACCATCGATGATAAACAGGATCTTCTGTGCCTGGGCAAGGACTTCTGCTGCATCATCCTGCCACTCTGGCCAGTCTTTGAAGATCAGTTCTGCAAAGCTGCATGCGCCCATGTGGTTGAGTTCCTTGCAGCTCAGGTAGAAGGTGTATTTGAACACCTGATTGAGGTTGTTCTCTGCCCAGTCCAGCATCAGCTTCTTTGCCAGGGTGGTTTTCCCAACACCTGCGGGGCCATATAGCACCACCGTGTGTGGAAATGGCCCTGGAAGCATTGTCGGGTCACAGAAGGGGATGAGCATCTTGTCTCTCTGGGTGACATCATGGATGTTCTCACTGAGTCCAGGCCAGTTGTTCTTCCAGTGTTTCCAGAACTTCTTTTTCACTATACTTCTGTAAATATCTTCTTTACCTTCAGGGGACATGCCATGTGGGACACACAGGACACAGTTGGTTATTCATTAGGGGGAAATTATTTGTGGAAATAATAAATAGAAAAGAAAAAAAAAGTAATGAGGTTTAGAAAGAATAATTTGACCCCAAACTCTCTCCAGGAATATAGGATGACAGACCTGGCTTTTCTCCTTCCAAGAAAGTTTTAGTTTTTCCCAGGTTTATGACTTCTTCTTCTTCTGTCCTCTCTGCAAAACACAAACTAAAGTAACCTTGACATAAAACAGGTGCTCATCCCTTGTCAGAGCATGATGATCCAGCAGGCTCCTTGGAGCCCAAAGTCTTACCTTTGTACAGATTGTGAGTGGGAATTACAAAGGCCGAGTTTATAGAGAAGAACAGGACAAGTGACCCTATCAGCCAAGAACTGTAAAAAGAAACACTTGCTCTTTCAAACTCAACATGGTTTATCCTGAATGACTTGCTGTCTGCCTCTCCCATGGGACTAGAATGCATGCCAGGAGCTCATACTAAAGTTGTTTGATCATTGAAACAATAAATACAAGCTGAGCACTGTTGCTCAATGGTTAGGGTGCTGGCCTTATAAACCAGGAGCCATCAATTCAAACCTCACTTGGGTCTGACTTAAAACAGCAAATATAGACAATTATAGTCATTAGCTTTTTACTAATTAAAGAACTTCTCAACCCATCCTATCTAAGGGAAGAATCAGGAAGAGAGGGTGAAAAAATAAAAATACAAATTTTTTAAAAGATGGCAAACTCCAAGAGGAATGCTCTACAACATTTTCCTAGCTTTCTATGAACTGAGTTCTGATTCTCTGCAATGTTTTCCCCTTTATTCTTATAGAAGGGAGGGAGGCATTCTCTAAGAGACAATTGGTATATAAACATAGTAGCCCAACACAGTGGCTCATGCCTGCAATCCCAGCACTCTGAAAGGCCAATGCAGGAGGATCCCTTGAGCTCTACCCCACATATGCATGAATGTATTCATGATCTATGTGTCTTTGACTTAATTAAAAAAAAAAATAGAGCAACTGAATGACCAAAAAAAAAAAGAGTGAGACCCTGCCTCTACTAAAAACAGAAAAAATTAGCCAGGTGGAAGGCTCCTGGAGTTTTAGCTACTCAGGAGGCTGAGGCAGGAGAATTGCTTGAACCCAGGATTTTGATGATGTTGTGAGCAGGGCTGAGGCCACTGTACCCTAGCCTGGGTGATAGAATTTGACCCTGTCTGAAAAAATAGTAGAGAAAGAGATGGAGAGAGACGGAGTTCTCCAAAGGAGGGGTAAGAGCAGCAGGCTGGGGTCACGTCACTTAGGTTACTCCAACATCGGATGTCCCGAGACCAACCTGATTGCTTTTCTAAGTGCTGTAGCAGTTCTTCCAGGTTTTCGTATTCTGGGCCTTCTTTCCATTCTATGCCTAAAGAAAAAGAGGAGACTTTATAGGCCTGTCACTATGCTAACGATAGGACTTCAAGATGGTGCAAGTTCAACCACTGGGTCTCAATGTTTAAGCCTAGAGTATGTAAAGAGGATGTTAACAAGGCACTGGACATAAAAGCAAGTGTGTCAGGCCACAGACTTGGAGTTACGTGCCTAAGAATTCCTACGTAGTTTAGAATACATGGTGTGAGGAACAGACACATTCAATCATTTATTTACAAGGGCATCAGAAAGCCACATGGATTAGGTCCCTGGTTTCTGACAAGGTGGGTAAGATTATATTATACTGGAAAAGAGCATAAAGAATAAGGTAGAGGGCTTGGCACCTATAGCTCAACAGGCTAAGGC